AGGGTTTTAAGTGTATAATTTCAGTCCTCTGCTGTCTATAGAGACTTATTGCTATGACACTAAGGACATGAAATATTTTACATATTTCAGTGATGGAGTGTTGCTAACATTGCTGTATACTTTTCTAAAAAGCCACTAGAAAACCCCATCCTCAAGGCACAGGAGAGACGGGACGAGGAGCCTGGCAGGGCCCCTGCGGAGCTCAGCCTCTGCTGGAGACCTGGCTCTCGGGACATGCTTTAGATCAGCGGTTCTCAACCTGTGGGTCACGACCCCTTTGGGGGTCGAACGACCCTTTCACAGGGGTCGCCTAAGAACATCAGAAAACACATATATAATTATATATTGTTTTTGTGATTAATCACTATGCTTTAATTATGTTCAATTTGTAACAATGAAAATACATCCTGCATATCAGATATTTACATTACGATTCATAACAATAGCAAAATTATAGTTATGAAGTAGCAACGAAAATAATGTTATGGTTGGGGGTCACCACAACATGAGTAACTGTATTAAAGGGTCGCGGCATTAGGAAGGTTGAGAACCACTGCTTTAGATACTGCTTCTGTTTCAATGAGAGCTTTAGTATGATTTGCTGTCTGGTAAACATTAGCTTTAGTAATGATAATATGAATTTAAAAGGTTATTTCATCCTCACAACTACTCTCTGCAGTAGGCAGTTTAGTCCATTTCATAGAGCAGTTAAGTATTGTGCTGCCAAGTACACGGAAATAAGTGATGGAGCTAGAATTTGAGTCTGAGTTCCGACCTCGAAGTCCAGAACATTGAAGCCTCCTTGAAACGGGAAGGTACTATTTACAAAATTCCTTCTCTGTTGAGATTATTTGTGTTACATTTTGTCAGAATTTTATTTTCTTAAATATTTTTTTGATTTTTAGAGAGAGAGAAAGGGAGAGAGATGGAAATAATGATGAGAGAGAAACATCATTGATTGGCTGCCTCCTACACATCCCCTACTGGGCATCGAGCCACAACCTGGGCATGTGTCCTGACTGGCAATCAAACCAGTGACCTCTTGGTTCCTGGGTCGATACTCAACTGCTGAGCCACACCAGCCGGGCATATTTTGTCAGATTTAATCTTTCTCATAACCTCCCAGGTATATTGAACTTTGATCTGTAATAGTTTTTTAAAAGGAGCACTTCCACTTTTCAGATTTATTCTGTGTGAGTACCTAACTAAACTGTAAAATATGCATATTTTATTTTTAATTGTGTTTGAGTTCATAAGTTGAATTTCAATATTGGCAATACCAATATTTTTGTGGAAAAAAGGATGCCTTTTGGTTTCTCAAGTGAGTTTATGTATGGGGTAAAACTTCTGTGTTTGAAAGTTAGTATTTTTATATCTTGGTATTATATCATTAGATGGTTTATTAGAAATTTATTACATTTGATTATGCATATCATGTTTGTCATACTGTAACTTACTAAGATTACAATTCATGATATTAATACAAATGAATCCAAAGTAAACTGCATTAAGAAGGCATAACATGGAAGAGGACTTTCTAATGCTGGCTTGTCTGGTCAGCTGCCAACACTCTAAATTGTTCAGTGTAAAATAGAAATTACTTATTTGAGGTTAAGAACCTCTGGTAAGGATTTCTTTTTTAAAAAATATATTTTTATTGATTTCAGAGAGGAAGGGAGAGGGAGAGAGAGATGGAAACATCAATGATGAGATAGAATCATCAATCGGCTGCCTCCTGCACACCCTACACTGGGGATCGAGCCCTGACCGATCATCGAACTAGTGACTTCTTGGTGCACAGGTTGATGATCAACCACTGAGTCACGCCGGCCGGGCAAGGATTTCTTTTTATTCAATAAATGTATTGACATTCTACAGTGTATTATTTTTTATTACGTGTTAGGGTTATTGTGTGTTAGGTGCTTGGTAACCTTGATTCATGCCTTCCCAGCACATGGTAGGTTCTTGGTTAATGTTTAATGATAATGAATAATGAAATGGCCTGTAAAAGCCTTGAAACTTTGGAGTAGATTTCCACCCTACTCCATAAAGAATTATAAAACACTTTCAAACTCTTGCATTTATGAAATGCCTAGAAAAGCATCTTCAAAACACTGTTCCTAATGTGAGAGTTGATTAATATTTGGAAGAAAAAGTGGGGGAAATCGAAATACTATGTATCCCAACAAAACTTTTTTCATATGGGAAATATATATCATGTTATTTTTCTACAATAAAAAATTCCTGAAACAACTGTTTTAATTATTTTTATTTTTGGTATATTTTTCTTAAGGATATAAACTCATAAACTGAAAGGTTGATTTTACATGCGGTCTTTCATAGACTATTTCTCATTTAATTAAAAAGTGTTTGTGAGAAGTTAAAACTTGGATTGGAAAGGTAACTATTTTAGGCTTCTGAGTATTTTCTTTTTTCTCGCTTGTATTAAGATTTCTTTCATTTGTTTTACCATCTTCCTCACTCTTCCCCTCAATCCTCCTATCTAATAATAGAGAAACATGGTAATTAACCATAACTTTGCTATCCTTCCCATTGGCTAATCAGCGAGATATGCAAATTAACTGCCAACCAACATGGCGGTTGGCAGCCACGCAGCTGAAGCGAACAGGAGGCTTGCTTGCTCCAGTGACGGAGGAAGCCAAGGTTCCCCGCCTGCCAGCCCAGCTCTGAGCTCCAGATGCAACAATGTTGCAATTATAGAAGCTAAACAAACCCAGAAACCTGCTTTCAGCTGCCAGCGGGCTCAGAGCTTAGAGCGCCAGTGATGGCAACAGAGTTTCAATTATAGAAGCTAAACAAACCCAGATACCTGCTTTCAGCCAGCCACAGCCTCAGAGCTGGAGCCGGCTCTCAGCTCCAGTGACAGCTATAGAAGGTAAATAAATCCCAGAATAAAAAAAAAAAAAAGAGGCTGGGAGCTTCAGTCACCCGCCAGCCTGAAAACGGCCCTCAGCCCCTCACCCAGACTGGCCAGGCACCCCAGTGGGGACCCCCACCCTGAAGGGGGTGCGACCAGCTGCAAACAGCCATCAGCCCGTCTTCCAGGCTGGCCAGGCACCCAAGCGGGACCCCCACCCTGATCCGGATCACCCTTCAGGGCAAACCAGCCAGCCCCCACCTGTGCACCAGGCCTCTATCCTATATCGTAAAAGGGTAATATGTAAATTGACCCTAACAGCAGAAAGACCAGGAATGACTGGTCACTATGACACACACTGACCACCAGGGGGCAGACCCTCAATGCAGGAGCTGCCCTCTGGTGGTCAGTCGCTCTCACAGCGGGGAGCTCTGCTCAGCCATGAGCCAGGCTGATGGCTGCCAGACAGCAGTGGTGGTGGGAGCCTCTCCTGCCTCCTCAGCAGCACTAAGGATGTCTGACTGCAGTTTAGGTCTGCTCCCTACTGGCAAATGGGCATCCCCCGAGGGCTGCCGGGCTGCCAGAGGGATGTCTGATTGCCAGCTTAGGCCCAATCCCCCAGGGAGCAGGCCTAAGCCAGCAGGTGGTCACCCCCGAGGGGTCCCAGACTGCGAGAGGGCACAGGCCGGGCTGAGGGACCCCTTACCCCTGAGTGCACAAATTTTTGTGCACCGGGGCTCTAGTATATTTACTAATTTGCTCAGTCCTAGTGTACACATAAAGTAGTTTTGGTATTGTTAATTCATACCCTTCTGAAAAACAAATTCATTAACCAGAATGCAGTATCATGCTCAGTTGTTTTTGCCTTTATCCTTACAAAATACTCTTTTCCAAAGTTATTTAGTTTTTGTCCTCCCTGTCTCCTATAGTGGGTTACATTCTCCATTTGTAGCTGAGTTGGGTTACGGTTTGCATTTCATTTTGGGGTTCCTCCACATTCTGGTTATTTGAGCTATTCATTTTTGAGGCAACATGAAACATTACCATGTCTAACAAAAGAGTATACTCAGAGGACTGTTATTTTTCATTCCCTTGTACTATCCCCATTGCCCCCTTCTTCCGTTCCATTTCTGCCTGTCTCCTGTAGGTGACCAGTCTCATTAATTTCTGATTTATCTTGCCTCTTGTTATTGAACAAATGAGCAGATACTCAACATTTTCTCATTTCTTTCTTGTATAAAGTGTGGAATACTCTACTTTTGTACTTTGATTTAATAATATATCCAGTTTATCCTCTTAATATATCCAGGAATCACTCCTTATCAGTCATAGAACACTTCTAATTATTTTTCATAGCTGCCAAATACTCCATTGAGTATATGTGCCTTAGTTTATTCAATCATTCTCCCGTATCTTGGCATTCAGGTTCTTCCCAGTTCTTTGCAATTACAAATTGCTGCAATGAATAGACTTAACTGTATATACTTGTGTATTGTTGTGTACCTTAAGGTGAATTTACAACAGTGGGATTGCTAGGTTAAAAGGTAAGTGCAAATGTTTTATTGTTAGGTACCACTGAATTTCCCTCCAGAAAAATTGTATCTGTGTGTACTCCCACCAGTACTGTATGAGGGTGCCTGCTTCTCCACAGCTTTTCCAGCAAATGTACTATCTTACTTTTTTATTTTTCCCAATCTGATGGGTGAAAATGGCATTCCTCTAATTAACAAGTGAGATTAAACACCCTTTCATATGTTTAAGGGCCATGTTTATATTTTGTTGTGTCCTTTACTTTAAAGCAGTGGTTCTCAACCTTCTGGCCCTTTAAATACAGTTCCTCATATTGTGACCCAACCATAAAATTATTTTCGTTGCTACTTCATAACTGTAATGTTGTTACTGTTATGAATCGTAATGTAAATATCTGATATGCAGGATGGTCTTAGGCGACCCCTGTGAAAGGGTCTTTTGACCGCCAAAGGGGTCGAGACCCATAGGTTGAGAACCGCTGCTTTAAAGAGTTATATCTAATGCACGTTGTGGTTGGATTATTCACCTTCAGCCTCCCAGGACAGTAGCACTTTATAGAGACTAGACATTAATAATGACTTTTCTGTTTCAGATTTTCCATGGTGGCTTATTTTAATTAGGCAGAAAGCGCTGGTGGGCAAACTTCCAGGAGACCATGAGGTCTGTAAAGTTACCAAGATTGCTGTGCTGTCACTTTCTGAAATGGAACCTCAGGATCTTGAGCTAGAGGTAAGGTGCTTTCTCAGGAAATTTTATGGAAACGTGATATGAATATAATAGCAATTACGAGGATTTGGTTTAATAGACCAGAATCATACAATGTTAGACATGGATAATGTCTTTAAAATAATTGAATCTTATGGTTTTTAAACTCCATTTTAGTAGTGGAAACTGTTTCCAAATCGGTGAAATCCAGTATATGAGATGCATAAGATCAGAGCTGCTTTGGTTGAGGTGGTGATGGGGAGTGGGCATGTGCTGTGAACATTAATGTACAAATTTTTGGTGGGCATTTTTTTTCTCTTGGGTATATACCTTGTGATGAAATTGCTGGGTCATGTGGTAACTCTATGTTTAACTTTTTGAGGAACTGCCAGACTGTTTTTCAAAGCAGTGTGCCATTAAAAAAAATCTAGACAAGGGTATGAAGAATCTGTGGGGTTCAAATAAATGAGAACAGAGGTGCTCTTTCTTTTGGGGAAAAAAAAAATCCTTTAAAGTTTTATAGGCTTGATGTTCCATGTCTGCATATCGTATTTGCTATATCTCATTGCCTTAATAGATAACTGCATCATTTCCCATATTTAGTTTCCCATCAGACATCTGTTTAAAATTTTAGCTCCAGATGGACACAGATAGATAGCAACTTTTAAAGTAAAAATCATTTATTTTTATTTTCTTAGACAGCAGCCACAGCAGCCCTTACTTAATCTTGATTATGAAATGTAAGTTGCTAGAGTAATAGAAGATATCAGGGAGCACCGTGGGGCTTGTGGCGGTGGCTTTCTCTTTGAGATCATGTGTGTCAGGGTTGTGATAAAGGCCTAAGCACACACGGCACAGACCTGGCTGGGCCTCTGGAAAAGGGAAAGCGATCCACTGTCAACACGGTGTGTTGTAATCCCAAGAACCCTGTCTAAACAAAGCCTTTTAGGACTGGAAAGGATCTCAGACTTCATTTTCTCTATCCATACTTTGTGTAGGACTTCATTTAACCTTTTTAAAAATATAGTGGCCTATACTTTTTTTTCTAAAGGTAACTATGGAGGATTCTAGAATATTCATTGAAAATGTTTATGTTCAAAGTAATTTTAAATTTCTATTTAGAAAAATCAGTTTTAAGAGGTAGAGATAGACTTCTGGGGAAGATGTTGTAGTGTTTGTGCTTCCCTATACAGATCACAATGGTTATCTGAAACCTTTGGGGCCATATTTGTTTTAGAGTTCAAGTTTTTATTTTGGAGGGTGGGGCGGTATTGAGAAGGTTATTCCATTTATTTTATATATGCCCTGTGAGTTTGAGGTGTTACTCCACAATACAACACATTAATATTTCTTAGAGAATAATGAATCAGGAGAAAATTCATACCAAGGGAGGTAAGTGATGACATCAGTAGCTTCATGTCAGTTTAGGGTACATTTTGGCATATTGTTGGTAAGGAAGGAAGTTAAGGGGTATTGGGCCCAAGCCCAGGAAGAGGTTAGATTAACAAAAGAAAAGAGCCTGACCAGGGTGCTCGGTTGGGTGTTGTCCCATGCACCAGAAGGCTGCTGCTGTGATTCCCCGGTCAGGGCAGGGGCCCGGTTGCAGGCTCGATCCCTGCTAGGGGATGTGCAGGAGGCAGCCAGTGGTTATTTTGCTCTCACATTGATGTTTCTCTCTCCTTCTGCCTTCCTTTCTCTCTAAAAAATCAATCAGTAAATAAAAAGAAAAACAAAGAAGATATTGCTAGGCCTGGAGAGATGGTATCTTCATGGACCATAAACAGAACAGTAGTTTGAATGGGGCCATAGGCCTCCTGGACTCTGGATCCAGAAGCAGGCAGTTCCAAGTAGAAACTTGTCCCCTATACAGTAAAGGGAACTAGAAGGGCTACAGGAAAGATGGGGGCCTGAAACCATGCTTGGTACTGGAAGCCTGGTGCTAGAGTGAGACTCCCCAGCTCATGAAAGGAAGCTGTTAGGTCATTGCACTAAATGGGATAGATAATTGTGCATAAATAATTCTGTCTGTTAAGCACTTTGAGAAATACTGGTCTGGGCAAAAGATTAGGACCTGAATTAACACAGTAGCAATCAGCAGCAAGTGGTTGGGTTTGATAGGAGAGACTTTAGGAAGGAGAATAATGGAAGATGACTCCTAGCTTTCTTGCTTAAGTGATCCCGTGGGTGCTATAGTAGTTGCCCGAGATAGATTTGAGAAACAGATGTTGATCAGTTTTGAAGATGCTGAATTCGAGGGACTGGTGTGTCAATAGCAGGCAGATGTTACGGATTTGGGTCTTGTGCTCAGAACAAAAGATTGGAGTTACCATGAACACGGGCAATAGGGTAGTGAAGACCTGGGAGGGAGTGTGTGAAATTATATGTAAAACACTTGATTTTAACCAGGTAGTTGTCTTCAGAACTTCTGTGCCTTCTCTGGTCTTAACACGTCCCCATCCTCTTCCTCACCTTTGCCAGTTGGCCCACACATTTCCTGAAGCCTCTACATACTGCTTCTTCAGATTTAAACTCTGGACCCAAAGACTATGTTTTTTGTTGATTGGTTAGTGTATGAGGATAGGAGGAGAGGATGCAGTTGACCTGTCCAGCTTTTAAGGTTCCCAGTAGAGCAGACTCTTGACATGTTCTAAACCAGAACACCCAGTTAACTGGCTTGAATGAATTTTTAGCACAGACAGCTGTGGAGTAATGCCCTTGGAGCATAGAAAACGTACATTTTGCACGTTTAAAATTTAAAATTTTAGATGCCAGTTTTTAAAGCATTAATTAACCTCAGCTGGAGCATTTTATTTTTCAGTTATGTTAACCATAATTATGATCCTAACCTGAATTTCTCATCCCTAAATCCTAAGTATATCCTGCCCTGTATTCTTTGCCTGTCGTCTACTGTAGCTTTCTAATCACTGAAAGCACAGCTGTGTTTCCTGTGACCAGTTGTCTCCTTGGTCGTTTTTCTAACTCTTGAGGTTTACTTTGAACCACAGCGCATGAGCAGTAGCATCCACTGCTGGACTCACATTTGAACATTTAGCAAGTAGATATTAATAATAATGAATTCTCTCTCTCTCCCTATTATTTAGCTCTGTAAGAAGCATCATTTTGGAATTAACAAACCAGAGAAGATTATACCATCTCCTGATGACTCAAAGTTTTTACTGAAGACCTTTACGCATATTAAGTCCAATGTATCTGCTCCTAATAAAAAGAAAGTAAGCAAAATCAGTCAGAGAAAGCCAAGTATCACATGATCTCACTCATATGTGGAATCTAATGAGCAAAATTAACTGAGGAACAAAATAGATGCAGAAACATAGAAGCATAGAACAGACTGCGGAATCTTGGAGGGAAGGCAGGGGAGAGGGGGTGGGTGGGAAGAGACTAACCAAAGAACTTGCACACATATATGCATAACCCAAGGACACAGACAGTGGGGTGGGGAAGGCCTGGGGCGGGGTAGGGGGTGGGCTAGAAGGGGTCAATGGGGGGAAGGGGGGAACATATGCAATACTTTCAACAATAAAGATTTAATAAGAAAAAAAAGAATTTAACTGATATGGGCTTGGAATTTATTTTTTATTAGATTTAAATTGAGGGGTAATTTTCCTGCCAGTGAACTTATTTTGAAACCACTTGTCATATTCCAGCACTGCCTCTGCATGTCCTAGGGCAGCGGTTCTCAACCTGTGGGTCGCGACCCCTTTGGGGGTTGAACGACCCTTTCACAGGGGTCGCCTAAGACCATCGGAAAACACATATATAATTACATATTGTTTTTGTGATGAATCACTATGCTTTAATTATGTTCATTTTGTAACAATGAAAATACATCCTGCATATCAGATATTTACGATTCATAACAGTAGCAAAATTACAGTTATGAAGTAGCAACGAAAATAATTTTATGGTTGGGGGTCACCGCAACATGAGGAACTGTATTAAAGGGTCGTGGCATTGGGAAGATTGAGAACCACTGTCCTAGTGATTAGCTTCACCTCTTTCCTAGGAAGGTGTGAATTTCCCACATAGGCTGTCTTTACATTTCATTTCTGCAGTGATAGTAGATCCACATTTTTACAGGTCAAGGAAAGTAAAGAAAAGGAAAAGTTGGAAAGAAGATTGCTCGAAGAGTTGCTGAAGATGTTCATGGACTCGGAATCCTTTTACTACAGCTTGACCTATGACTTGACCAACTCAGTGCAGAGGCAAAGCGCTGCAGAGAGGGACCCCCGGCCCCTCTGGCAGAAGGTACCTCTCACGGTTCAGAGCAGGGTTTGCCCTCCAGAGCAGTTTATGGACTTATTTGGCTTTATCGGGAAACTGAAACAACAGGTTTCTGAACTGTTTATTCTCTACCTTTTCCAGGTTGATGATCGATTTTTTTGGAATAAATATATGATACAAGATCTTACTGAGATTGGTGTGAGTAGTTGTTTTCTAAAATATTCTAAGATAATTATAGTTAAGCAAATATTTTAAAATTGTCTTAAAATCTCTAATGTTTTTCCCTATAGAATGGAATCATTTAGCCAGGGAAAACTAAGGCATTTGGTATTTTAAGGTAGCTCACTATTGCTTAGCCACAGGCCTAGCTTTTTAGCAGGTTGCCATAGGATAGTAGTCATTTAAGACTGGGGAACTAATGTCCTCAGAGTTCCTATAAAAGAGGTAGTTTGTTTACCCATTGGAAATGTTGAAGCCCAGTTGTCCTTGAATAATACCAAGTTTTTTAACTTTCCTGTTTCCTCATCTGGACAGATCTCCAAGGACATTCTCGTACTGCCAGTATTTGAATCAGGGAAGATAGGGAATATGATGAGGTTATTGAGATTTGGTGATTACAGTCTTTCTTTACTCTGTCACATTATGCTGGAGAATTATGACTGTCCAAGGACAACTAATTAATTTATTCAGTCAATCAACAAATATTTGTGGAAGGCCTGCTGTGTGCCAGTTACTGTTTTGGACACAAAGTGGGCAAATAGTTGATTAGGATCATATATTATCTTTTTCTTAGCCTTTCAGAAATTTCAGACCTTTTGTCCTGGCCATTGTGGTTCGGTTGGTTGGAGCGCGTCACCTACACAGAAAGGTCTCGGGTTTAATTCCTGGTCAGGGCACATACCTAGGATATGGGTTCAGTGTCTGGTTGGTGCACATAGGAGAGGCAACCAATTGATATCTCTCTCCCCGCCTCCTCCCCTCCCCTCCCCTCCTCTTCTCCTCCCCCCTCCCCTTCTCTCTCCCTCTCCTTCACTCTCTCTTTCCTTTCTCTTAAAAATAAAAATCAATAAACACATCCTCAGGTGAGGATTAAATAAGTATATTATTTAAAATTTTTTTCAAACCTTTCTCCTTTTTTCTATTTCTCTTTCTTGGTGGGAGTTAGTAGATAGATAATGCCTACCACTAGCTATCTATCATGTCTCTATCGAGAAAGAGTTCTTGCCTCTTTATGATGCTGATACTGGAACCACCAGAACTCTGTGGCAGGATTAGCAGTAAGGGTGTCTGTAATGAATATTGTCTTGCTTGCTGATGTGTTGAGCTCTGTTTTGCAGAGTTTTTGCAGATATTTAGCATTTCCATTGAGAACTGGTGACTTGCTATAAAGGTGGCATTTGGCCACTAACACGTCTCTGTTCCCGCCAAGAGTTCTGCATGTATTGCTAGAAGGGAAAAAACACAAATAATGGGAGTGATGATAAGAATCATGAAGGCAGGTCGGCCCTTTACTGTTTCCAGCCACCTTCCAAGATCCTACCTGTAGGCTCCATAAAACAGAACCGTGAGATAGGACCTGGAGTGTGTGGTTATGCGAGAAGAGGTGGGTTTGAAGTTGATGCTGAGATTGGGGCTAGATAGGATTATGGAGACAGGAGAGAGCGGGACTAAGAACAACTCTCTGGGAAGCTTCTCAGCCTTCACTGTTTATCCTGTACTATTGCTAACTAGTTCCTGTAAGCAGGCAGGCACTATGCTAACGACTTTTTCCATTTTACTCGTTCATCTTCACAGCAACCTATTAGGGTAGTAGTTTTCCTGTTTTTCAAAGCAGAGTGTCCAGGCACTGGGGAGGTGCAGTGACTCACCTGGGGGAGTTAGTGAATGGCGGAGCTTGAATTTGGACCCCGCTGTCTGGCTCCTATGGTGTGATCACTCTCAGGCAGCTCTCTTTTGAGTGATTATTATAAAGAAAAGGAAATGCTCTCTGCTTCACCTGCACTCCTCCCTCCACTCCTTTGTGTTCTCCAGTGAGCAGAATATATGGTTAAAGAATGGAAAGTTTCTGTTCCTAATAAACTAACAAGTATGTGCTGGCTACTGTTTGGGTTTAAGAAAGTGTCAGTGCTGTAGAGCATAGAAACAACGTGATGTTCCTATTGTTTTCAGACACCAGATGTGGACTTCTGGATTATCCCCATTATCCAAGGTTTTGTGCAGATTGAAGAACTTGTGGTAAATTATAGTGAGTCATCTGATGATGAGAAAAGCAGCCCCGAGACCCCGCCTCAGGAGTCCACCTGTGTAGATGACATTCACCCTCGATTCCTAGTGGCTCTCATTTCACGTCGCAGTCGGCACAGAGCAGGTGTGTGGAAGGCTGTAATCACCTGCAAATCAAATCCAGGCTAAATGGAAATCCTGCGGGGGTGTTGAAATGCTGATGACCAAAAGGATCTGGAAACAGTCCGTTTCAGTGCTCAGTCACTTTGTAATGTGACTGGGGACCAATTATTGGATAGAGACGAACTGGGAAGAGTTAACAAAAGGAGAAAGAAGAGAAGAAAGTCACTTGGGATGTGCTTCTAAAATACCATTGTTCTCACTGATGGGTTGGATCACAATCACAGTAATAAATCCTTCCTGAGTGCTAGCGCCTTTGGGAAAATCCTTCTCTTTCAGTGCATAGGAGCTCTCGTAGCTTCAGTTTGTAAAAATCCTGATGCATGCAGTTATGATTTGGGATAAGTTGATCCAGTTCTGCCTGGCAGTTGCACATTAGATCCCCAAGGCTATCCTGAAAGTGAGATAAGCATGATCTAGATAGGCTAAATTTTTTTTTAAATGTTGCTGTTTTCTGTTTGTTTGTTTTTTGTTTTTGTTTTAGGAATGCGCTATAAACGAAGAGGGGTGGATAAAAATGGAAATGTTGCAAATTATGTGGAGACTGAGCAGCTAATTCATGTCCATAATCATACCTTGTCATTTATTCAAACCCGAGGCTCTGTGCCTGTCTTTTGGAGCCAGGTTGGCTATCGATACAATCCAAGACCTCGGCTGGACAAGAGTAAGCAAGTCCATTGTTTGGTTTGCAAATGATGATGTCAGACAGGTATTAGATACATTATAGATTTGGATTTGCTTTGCTAGATGCGTCATTCAAAACAATAACTCATACAGTGAAATTTAGTGGAAAGTGATATAAACATAAGAGCAATAATGGTTGTTGACAATTTAACAAAAATTCCCCAACAATAGCAATAATGGTTGTTGACAATTTAACAAAAATTCCCCAACAATAGAGCAAAACAGCTTATTGTACATTTTAAATTCTTGACTTTTTGAAGAATACTTTATTGGATGTTTAATTTTGGAGAAGGGTAAATGAAGCCAATATTTGTAGAAGGAGGAAATATCTTAAGATGGCATCTATTATATAAGATGCCTTTATTGAAATGCCTCACTGTGAAGTGTTTGTTATTGTTTAAATTATTGAGAAGTTAATTTATTTTTGTATTTTAACTTTAACACTGGAATAGCTAAATCATGTCAGCCTAATTAGATTACTGAATTAGGTTGATTTTTAAAAATTGTTTACAAAATATTTTTCTCTCAAACTGAATTTATATTTATGAGAATTTGGTAAAACTTGAGTTTTAATATCCTTGATTAAAGAAGTTTTTATTTTTTTATTATAAACTACATGAAACCTTTTCTGATAAGTTGGCTGGCTTGTTATTATAATGTTATAATTTCGCAGTTTGTACTTTGTTTTAATTTAATCTAATAGGGGGAAAGAAATCAGATCTTTGGCTTAGCATTTCATTTTAAAATAATTTTAGAAAATCTTACTTTTGGGCTGTCAATTTTTTAAAAGTAAGAATAACGATGGAATAGACACTAATTTTTTCTTAAACAGGGGAAGGAAAAAATCGATTTTATATCACTTCTTTGTAGGTGAAAAGGAAACTGTTGCCTATTTCTGTGCCCACTTCGAAGAACAACTGAAAATTTACAAAAAACAGGTGGGCTTTGATCTCTAGTAGTTAATGTTCCTTTATATTTTGAAATGATTGTATATCTGTTTCTTTAAATTTCATGAAAATAACAATGTACTATTCATAATTAAGCAAAATGGCATTTCTCATGAAGTTAAAGAACACATGTAAGCTAAGAATATTCTTATTATTTTTAAAGAAATATTGTCAGCTACTTTAGACCATTTTTATTATTTTTTAAAATTTTAATTTTTTAAATCAGTTTTATTTTTCAATTACAATTGACTAGACCATTTTTAGATAAGAGATAAATCTGTCAATTATTATGATTTGAGAAGTTTCTAGAGTAAGAAATAAAAGGCATCTCTCAGTACCACACATATAGTTAGTTCTGCCTCCTGGAAATAACAATTTAATATGTATCTTTCAGTATCTTTTCTTTGCCCACCTTTCTTATATATTCATACAGTCATGTAGGAATGTGATCATATAAACTAAAGTAAGATAAAAGCTGTTAAATGAAATACACGTTCAATAAGATGACCAGATTTCAGATACAGGATTGAGCTAGAACTGTCAATAACTAATCCATTAGCAATAACCAGTCTGAATGTGTAATGCCATAGGACGTATTTTTCTAACAGCAACAAAAATAAAATAGGAAGAAATAACCTAAAATCTTGTAAGCATACAAAAGGATACCATGACAGTGGTGGTGGCGGGGGTCCAGGGGAGAGTTACTGAAGAACACAAAAGGAAATCTGAATAAATGGAGAGAATAATCTTAGAAGGAAAGACTCAATATTCAACAGATTTCTGTTCTTCCAAAATTAATATATAAATTTTGTGCAATCCCAAAGAAAGTCCCAGCAGGGAAATAAAAACGAAATGATTGAAAAAAAACTATGAAGTTTGATAAGAGATGAAGTCAGGAATGTGGGAAATGAGAACTCTCACATACTGTTAGAGCAGTGGTTCTCAACCTTCCTAATGCCGCAACCCCTTAATACAGTTCCTCATGTTGTGGTGACCCCAATTTCATTGTTACAAATTGAACATAATTAAAGCATAGTGATTCATCACAAAAACAATATTTAATTATATATGTGTTTTCCGATGGTCTTAGGCAACCCCTGTGAAAGGGTCGTTCGACTCCCAAAGGGGTCGCGACCCACAGGTTGAGAACCGCTGTGTTAGAGGGAGCATAAGTTGGTACAGCCATTTTGAATGGTATTATTCAAAATAAAATATGCTCTACTGTTAACCCAGTAATTTTGCTTTCTGATATCTATCTTACATACCATATACAAAAATCAGTTCTAGGTGGATATGGATTTAAATATGTAAAGTTAAACAAAACTTTTTAGAGGAAAATATAGAACATCTTTTGACCTTGGGTGTTAAACTGGACTTAAAAAGCACTAACCATAATTTTTCAATGGATAAAATTGACCTTACTAATTTGTAAATTTTTATTAGAATTTTATTTCTTGAAACTTTATCATAAATATAAATACTATTATAAATGTTATAAATATATTTTTTATTTTATTTTTTTTAGAGAAAGAAGGGTGGGGGTAGCTTCGATAAGAAAGAATCATTGATCTGCTGCCACCAGCTCAGTGGTTGAGCGTAGACCTATGAACCAGGAGGTCAGTTTGGTTTCCAGTCAGAGCACATGCCTGGGTTGTGGGCTCGATCCTCAGTGGGGGTTGAGCAGGAGGCAGCTGATCAATGATTCTCTCTCATCATTGATGTTTTCTATCTTTCTCTCCCTCTCCCATCCTCTCTGAAATCAATAAAAAAATTTTTTTTAAAGTATTCTAAATATTTTCAAGATTTGCTATTTTAAAGGACCTTGTTTTCATTGTCTATTCTAGTTGGTTATTACAAATGTATAATGTATATAAAAACTATTAATGCCATTGATGTAAGCAGTTATCATAAACCTAAGTGTAACAAATGAAAATCTAATTTATAGGAAAAAGATTGATGCTTGAGTGGATTTCTAAGCATAGCTAGAAAATACTTCTAAAACATAATTCCAAATAAGTCACATTATGATTCTATCATCTGGTTAAAATGAATTTTTTCTCCTTACTCTTACAGGTTATTATTAACTTGGTAGACCAAGCAGGAAGAGAGAAAATTATCGGGGACGCTTACCTAAAGCAGGTGTTGCTCTTTAACAATGCGCACCTCACTTATGTTTCATTTGACTTCCATGAGCACTGGTAAGGTGCTTCCTGAGATGAGTTTTTTTACCAGTTCCGATGGTTGTGGTCCGATGCTGCCCCAGGGACCTAAGTTTCTCTTTATTGGGAAGAAAAATTTCTTCTCATTGTTGGAAAGGGAAGAAATATTATTTGTTTACTTTGTTTTCATTTTTATATGGATTTTATTCTGGCTAAAAATTTAGCTTAATTGTTCCTGAAATATTTATAGTTTTTCTATTCCTAAATAACTTGGAGACTTAGAGTTCATTTTTCCTTTTATTATTCAAGTAAAGAATTTCTGGAGCTTTACCTTTCTGCTTAAGCCTGAGCCTGGCAGAAGTAACAGAAACCCCTTAATAAAAATCATCCTGCTGGCTCATTTTCATACTTTATTAGTAACACTTCTTTCTCTATGGATAAAGTTCACTAGAATTTGCTCTGGAAAATCAACAATTAGTGAACCATTATGATGATAACTTTAACTTGAGTGTATTTTGAAAGCAAGGTTCTTTTATCATGACCCTGGTTCTAACATGATCTCAATTATCTAAGTGTTGAAAATTTGGTGGGGAGAGAAGCTTTAGATATCTTTATTTTTCAGTATATTTTTCAGTATATTTTCTTCCACATGACAGATTAGCTATAAACGTTTATGTAATTGCCTATATAAATTATAATAGTGTAAACCTCATTTATTTAAAGTAATAATTTTCTTTAATTTTTCAGGCTATCTTAAATATCATATTTTTAAGTTAAAGATTTTTCTCTTTGTTTTGGCTTGTATTTTAGCCGAGGAATGAAGTTTGAGAATGTTCAAACACTAACAGATGCTATTTATGACATTATTCTTGACATGAAGTGGTGTTGGTACGTATTTATTTCATAAGAAATCAGTGTAACAAACTCTTGGTCTGTGAAACCATGTGTATTTGTTTAGTAACATTAAGCATTAAAATAATAGCAGCAAGCTGAGAAAGCATTTTTGTTTTTCTAGTTTTGCTTCCCGTTTCCTGTTCTCCTTTTTAAGAGAGGGTTAGGCATTAGGCATTGTAGCTGTGAACCGGGAAGAGGTGTCAGGTGGTTGGGCAAAGTGATGTGAAATGCCCGATGACTATTATTTAATTCATTCTAATACTTCATAGTTGAATGTCTTTCTCCTCTTTCTTGCCATCCCTAACATGGAAGGAGGGCTAAGAGGTACCTGGTCTCAGTTGTCAGGCATTTAAAATTATCAAGGAAGGATGAAAATTCTCAGATTATAGGAGGGAGAGGCAGGAAGAAAAAATTGGCTTAAAGGACAGAACAGAACTATATTCTATTAGACTTTAAGGCCACAGATGGCAAGAGAAATGAGATGAGCAGGGCATGCTGCATGACTCTGTATTAGGTGGTAAAGTGAATGAGCTAATTTAGATGTATTTCTTCTTGGAGTCAAAGAGGAGGGACAGGATGGTGTTTTAAAGTGCTTTTTGATTTTAAATGTGCAGAAAAGAGTAACGGGCCCGTTTTGCCTAGTAGTTGTATGACTTGGGGCAAGTGTCTCTTTCTGTACCTCAGTTTTCTTTCCAAAATGAGGATAGTAATGTCTTCCTTGTTGAGTTATTGTGTAAATCAACAGTGTCTACATAGGACTCAATAATGCCTGCTCACAGTGGTCTTCCAAGCAAGCTGGTAACCAGTGCTGCTGTTCTCATCGCTGTGCTTGAAAGAATTTTGGTTTTTGAAAAACGCATTAAAGTGTTTCATGTTGTGAAATAATCCCATACTGTTTTTGAAAAGGGTTGATCAAGCTGGGGTCATATGTAAACAAGAAGGGATTTTCCGAGTTAACTGCATGGACTGCCTGGACCGCACCAACGTGGTTCAAGCTGCCATCGCTCGAGTGGTCATGGAGCAGCAGGTAACTTGGCATCTGTTGGATTGTAAATATTCATTTTTAATTTTTTCAAGGGTAAACTAATAACTAAAACCTTTGTTCTTTAGAACATTTATGGCATAAAACTCTTGTTGCATTAAAACCTGGAAAGCACAACCGCCACTAGAAATAACTTGAACCAAGTGGTATTTTCTTAAGTGCACATTTCAAAATGTGAGGCCCAACATTTAAAAATGTATCGGGTGCCACTGTATGGTCACTTACCTTTTTACCTCATCTCTAAACCATCTCTCCTGTATTTGGAGCTGGGAATCTGTACATTTCATTTCTGCTTGGCCGACTGGCTTCGTGTCAGGCTCTGCCAGTAGTGGACACTAAAGGAAGATCATGAGGCTGGAGGAGAAAAAGGGACTAGCTTCTTCATCTGGTTATAGTCCTGCCAGCAGTGCCATCACTGGGCTGTTGGGCCCTTTGGCACCACAGAACCAGCCTCTTGCCTTGATGCCCCAGTTGCTGGCAACTGCTTCCTGTGGTCATTATGTCATTACCCAGGTCCCCTTTCAGATCTTTTGGCCCTAACACCTGAGTAATGAATTCAAAGATGGAAATTCCTAGCATGGTTTCTAGGGTTTTGGTTTTGTTTTTGTTTTGTTTTGAAATACATTTTTATTGATTTCAGAGAGGAAGGGAGAGGAAGAGAGATAGAAACTTTGATGAGAGAGATACATCGATTGGTTGCCCCCTGTATGAGCTCTGACGTTGGGTTGGAGGGCGGGAGTCGAACCTGCAACCCAGGTATGTGCCCTTGACTGGGAATCAAACCTGTAACCCTCTGGTGCACAGGCTGACACTCTAACCATGCCGGCCAGGGCTGAAAACACCATTTCTTTTATTTAAGGGTTCTAAATTGTGTATGAACATAATTCCTTTTTCTGCAGTATGTTTTATGCTACGGTGTCTTGGTTTATATGTAATTAATCCACCAATGTATAAATTTTAGCTGAAAAAATTAGGTGTGATGCCCCCAGAGCAGCCACTGCCGGTGAAATGCAATCGGATCTATCAGATAATGTGGGCCAACAATGGTGACTCCATCAGCAGGCAGTACGCTGGCACAGCTGCTCTGAAGGTAAATACCTGCAGCGAGCATTTGCGGGTCATTCTGTGGGACTCAGAATGTGGGTAAAAACCATCTTTGTTTTTGAGATAAAGGTGTGCGGCTACAGGTGGTGGCTGACTACTTTCTGGAATGTTTGGCTAAGGCAGGGGTCACACACTCATCTTTTGGCTGGGACGGGCTGGGGTTAGGTGGCTCAGGCAGGCACCCATTAGGTGAAAGGGAGAGAGGGAGCTGTGTGGCCCTTAGGAAGAGCATATGTTGTCTCAGGAGGGTGCTGTCTCGTTTCCTTATGAGGATGGAGGCGCAGTGTTGCTAGGTCTTCCGGTTTTTTCAAGGGAGTTGGCAATCTGGAATTGTGTGAAATACTGGGTTTTTAAAATTTTAAATAGACAAAACAAAACATGTCTGTTGATGGGATTTGGCCCCTAGTATGATCATTTGCCCCCTAAATTTTTATCCCCATCCTGCCTTTTACTAGCTCTGTTACCTTGGGCAAGTCACTTAATTTCTCTCTCAAGAGGAGAATACACATTCTTAAGAAGCGCACATGGAACATTTTCCAGGATAGATCATATATTAGGCCACAAAGTCTCAACAAATTCAAGAAGACAAAAATTATATCAGGGTGTGTTTTTGTTGTTGTTGTTGTTTTTAGTAATAGTGGTATGAAATTAGAAATCATTAACAGGAGGAAAGTTGGAAAATTCACAAATATGTGGAAATTAACACTCCTGAACAATCAAAGGATACCACAGAAATACTTAGGATCATGAGGCTATACTGAACAATTATATGAGAACAAATTGGGCAATTTAGAAGAATAAATTCTTAGAAACCATACAACCTACCAATACTGAATTATGAAGAAACAGAAAATCTGAGCAGACCAGTGAGTAAGATTGAATCATTAAGCAAAAACTTCTCATCAAAGCCCAGGCCAGATGGTTTCACTAGTGAATTCTACCAAACATTTAAAGAATTAATGCCAATGTTTCTCAAGTTCTTCCAAAACACAGAAAAGGAGGAAACACTCCCAAACTCATTTTATGAGGCTCTGATACCACTATAAGGAAATAAAACTATAGGCCAATATCCCTGATGAATGTGGATGCAAAAATTCTCAAGTAAATACTAAATACTAACAAACTAAATGTAACAGTATCATACACCATAATAAAGTTGGATTTATCTATTAGGTGGAAGAATCATTCAACATATACAAATCAATAAATGGGACATCCTGGATTATAGAATGAAAGATAAAAATCATAATCTAATAGATGCAGAAAAAGGATTTGACAAAATTCAACATTCTTTTATATAAAAACTCTCAACAAATGAGGTATAGAAGGACTGTACCTCAGCATAATAAAGGCAATAATAACAAACCCACAGCTAACGGCATACTCAATGGTGAAAACTTAAAAGCTTTTCCTTTAAAATCAGGAACAAGACTTTGGTGCCCACTGTCACCATTCCTATTTGTCATAGTACTGGAAGTTCTAGCCAGAGCAATCATGAAAGGAAAATAGAAAACATTCAGATTGGAAAGGCAAAAGTGAATTTGTCTTTGTAGATGACATAATGTTGTATATGGAAAATCCTAAAAACACTCCATCAGAAAACTGTTAGAACTAATAAATGAGTTCAGTAAAATTGCAGAATACAAAATCAACCTACAAAAATCAGTTGCGCTTCTGTACAATAACAACAAACTGCTGAAAAATAATCACTTTTACAATAGCATCACAGACAGTAAAATCCTTAAGAATAAAGTTAACCAAGAAAGTGAAAGATCTGTACACTGAAAACTGGAAGACATTGATGAAAGAAATTGAGAGGACACAAATAAATGGAAAGATAGCCCATGTTCAGGATAAAAAAATTAATATTCTCAAAATGTTTATAATACTACCCAAAGCCATATATAGATTCAGTGCAATCCCTATCAAAGTTTTAGTGGCATTTTTCACAGAAATAGACAAAAGCAATTCTAATGTTTGTATGGAACCATGAGACCCCCAATAGCCAAAGCATTTCTGAGAAAGAAGAACAAGGCTGGAGGCAATAACACTCTCTGATTCCAAACGTTACTACAAAGCTATAGTCATCAAAACAATATGGCACTGACATAAAAACAAACACATAGATCAATGGAATCGAACTGAGAGCCCAGAAGTAAACCCACATATAGTCAACGACAGCTGTTGTATAACTAGTATAGTCTGTTATAAGATGAATAAATTCTGTAGATAATATTTGACAAGGGTGTCAGCAATACATTATGGGGAAAGGGTAATCTCTTCAATAAATGGTGCTGGAAAAATGGAATAGGCACATGCAAGAAAGTTAAATTGAACCCGTCTTATATAAAAATTAACGCAAAATGGATTAAAGACTTAAATGTAAGATCTGAAACTTTATAATTTACTCCTATAAGAAAACAGGGAAAATGCTCCATGACATTGGTCTTGGCAATGATTTTTTTGGGTGTGATTCCCAAAACGAGCAAGAAAAGAAAAAGTAAATAAGTAGGAGTAGATTAGACAAAAAAACTTTCTGCACAGTAAGAAAAAATGTTTTTTAAATCAACAAAATAAAAAGACAAGCTATGGAATGGGAGAAGATATTTGCAGACATGTATCTGATAAGAAGTTAATATTCACAATATGTAAGGAATTTATACAACTCAACAGCAAAATATAATTTGAGTAAAAAGTGGGTAAAGGACCTAAAGAGACATTTTTCCAAAGAAGATATACAAATGGCCAACAGGTACATACATAGGTGCTCAACATCAGTAATCATCAGGGAAATGCAAATCAAAACAACAATGCAATGTCACTTCCTACCTGTTAGAATAGCTGTTATAAAAAAGGTAAGAGATAAGTGTTGATAAGGATGTGGAGAAAAGGTAACCCTTATACACTGTTGGTGGGAACGTAAATTGGCCTGGCCATTATGGGAAACAGTATGGAAGTTCCCCCAAAATTAAAAATAGAACTATGATATGATCCGGCAATCCCATTTATGGGTATAGTAGTATATCTGAAGGAAATGAAATCACTATTTTGAAGAGATATCTGCACTTACATATTCATTGCAGCATTATTAACAATAGTGAAGACGTGGAAACAATCTAAATGTTCAGTGAGGATGAATGACTAAAGAAAATGTGTGTGTGTGTGTGTGTGTGTGTGTGTGTGTGTGTGTCATAGAACATTGTTTGGCCATGAAAAAGAAGGGACTCCTGCCATTTGCGACAGTATGAGGAACCCTGAGGGCAATATGATTAAGTGAAATAAGCCAGACAGACAAAGTACTACATGATCTCACTTATGTGTGGAATCTGGAATAAAGAGTTGATTGGTGGTTACCAGGACTCGGGGCAAAGAAGATGTTGTTCAAAAGGTACAAATGGAATAAGTTTTGGGATGTAATGTACAGCATCGTAACTGTAGTTAACAATAATGTATAATTGAAATTTGCTAAGGAAGTAGATCTTAAATGTTCTCACCACACTCACAGACACACACACGGAGGAATTATGTGAGGTGATAGATGTGTTAACCTTAATGTAATCACTCGCTGTATAAACACACACATATACCAAGTGATCACGTGGTACACCATAAATTTACACATATTACTCATCAATTTTATCTCAAAGTTGGGGAGGAGAGAAATATTTTTCTCTTTGATATTAAACTTTTTTGGATTCAGCATTCATGTCTCTCTTCTGTAATAGATTCTTATTTAATTACTGTTTCCTGTGAATGACTTAACTAGTTGGCAGTATCTTCTCCAAAATTATCAGTGTTAGGACAAGGTCTGTTTCAGGAATGGCCTTGGATAGAAATAGTGGGGTTGGGATGGAGGAAAAAAGGACTATGCTTTCCTTGCCTTCTAAGTTTAAATCACTACCTCTCTGGGGAGTTGCTCTGATACCTTTGTTAAAAGCAAGAGAAAAAACAATTTAAATCCTCATTGGCTCATTCTACAGGAATTGTAACGTGTAATGAGAAACCTGCTCTCTCTGTATTTACACACATCCACATAAACAGGTAAAATCTCTAATAAACTCTTGGAAGCTGTCCACATTTTTCCACATAAGAAATTTGTGATTTTTCAATATATTAAGTTGAGGCTTGAAAGACTGCCCACCCCCCACTCCCCCAGCAGGTTCTGTCTTTATTCTCCTGTTACATCTGTATTTACACCAGTTGATTTTAATCCTATCCATTCTATTCCAAAGGTTAGGGCGTTTGTTATCTCCATTCCAAGGTCACTACTCTATTGTTCTGTTAAGCTACAAGGAAGTAACTGAAGGAGATTATCCTAAGAAAAGATTATGTAGTTTAAGCGTGATTGTTCGTAGTTAAAGTGATTAACTACCCGCCTGGCACTTAGTTAAGAAGTTTTACTGATTTATTCCCTTCCTTAGTCCTGTTAATCCCTAACTCCAGGGAAAAATCCCCACCTGGGGAAACAACCTTTCTTGGAGAGGTGACCTTGGTTAAAACACATAGCGCTAAGAAGGGGAGCAAACATATTAAGAACAATATGCCATATATGCAGGTCCCTTGAAACATATGCTATGCAGATGTTTCTTCCCTGCAGCGACTATGTCAAGCAGCAAGGATGGACCGGCTTCCGGCACATAATAAAGGCCATATTTAACAAATCCACACCCAACATTATACGTACTCAATGGGCAAATTGAAAATTGTTAAGATCAGGATCAAAATAGGAATGTCTACTTTCATCACTCTTATTCAACATGGTATTGGAAGTTCTAGTCACAGTGATCAGAAGAAATAAAACCCATCCAGATTTGGGCGGGGGGGGGGGGGGGGAGTAAAACTGTCAATATTTGCAGATTACATGGATCTATATAGAGAGAACTTTAAAGATTCCATCAATAAACTAGAACGTATAAATGAATTGAAAGACTTTTTTGTTTGTTATGTAATAAGTTTAGACCTATAAATTTTCAAAATTCTATAGATTACCAAGAATGGCTTTACCTTAAAGCTCCATCTAGCTGAAGACTTTTTGCTACAAATAGTATGTTTAATTATTTGACATGCTTGGGTCAGAGTCAAATACTAATAGATATTTTAATTCAGCTGCATGACTTGGAATTATAAAAGCCTACAAAATTACAGTCTTACAAGCCCACCTTGACTTCGGGAACATTCTTGTGTTTAAATTGTCAAAATGTTTTCCTTGACAGGGTGACTTTACAAGGACAGGAGAAAGGAAGTTAGCAGGAGTTATGAAAGACGGTGTTAACTCCGCAAATAGGTATTACCTGAATCGATTCAAGGATGCTTATAGGCAAGCTGTCATAGGTAAGAAACGTAAAAGCCTTTCTTTAAAATTTGTTATTCCTTCTGTGACTATTTTACCGAAACCAACATTATTAACATAGTTCATATGTTTTATAATATACTTACGCTTCTATATTGAGCATCTTATTACCAAATGAATCAAATACAAATTTTTAGGAGATTAGAACTTGACAGATTTTTTAGGCTGGAGCAACAAAAGAAACCACTCGTTTCCATACGTATTTGTCAGTTTGCTGTTCATGTAACAGAAAGCATGGTTGAGGCTCCTGAAATAAGAAATAAGAGACCCTAAAACCTCATCACCTAAAAACCCCACATTCTATTTGTTTTTCCGTTACTCAAGGCTGAGAGATGTAACAAGATGATTTTCTTTCTTTCCATGACATCGTATGTTCTTGCTGTGGACAAAAACACCATCCTTTCTTTCCATGGGTGTGATTAAATAGCATATCAAAGAGGATTACATTAAGCCCTAGCTGTTTTGGCTCAGTGAATAGAGCGTCGCCTGTGGACTGAAGGGTCCTGGGTTTGATTCCTGTCAAGGGCACATGCGCAGGTTTCAGTCTCAATCCCCAGTGGGGGGCATGCAAGAGGCAGTCAATCAATGATTCTCTCTTATCATTGATGTTTCTATCTCTCGCTTCCTCTCCCTTCCTCTCTGAAATCAATAAAAATATTTTTAAAAAATTTATCCTACCCAATTCAGTCCTTTTTTTTGAAGAGTAAATGGAGGGTAGATTGCCCAGTGGAATTCATGCTTTGGCATGTTTTAAATTTAATTTTTATTAAAATATTACCTTATAGTATTTAAATAAACGTATAATGTTGTGGATTAGAACCAAATGCAACACTTTATCTTATGGTCTCTGAGACTATTTTTTAAATCCTGTTTTTAAACTTGATATTTATCATTCATAAAATAATGGGGCCTAGACACAGGCCAGTTAGTAATTTGAGAAGTCTGGTGTAAAGAAGTTTGGTTCATTTGCCATGGATGGGGGTGTGCTGACTGGAAAACTGGATTTTTAGCACATTATTACAGAAAAGTAAGATACTTTCCTTCTGTTGGTCGATCTGGTAACTCAGTTATGTCCTTGAGGACTCAGGTTTTGTCCCTTGCGCAGTTTGATCTCTTCAAGGTTGAGACAGAGGCCCATAGCAGGCTGGGCTACTGCTTCCCCTTGTAGTGATAGCAGTGGCAGATCTTTCCCAGAAGCCGCCTCCAGTCTCATTGTTCCAAACTATAGGGAATGGGATCATAATGACTTGTTAAAGTTTAAGCCACATGCCACACTAGGAAGAGGTTAGCTAGTCTATTTAGATCTGTTTAAAATGGGCTTTTTAAAAAAGGTTTTTGATTTCAGAAAAATGTTTTTATTGATTTCAGAAAAGAAGGGAGAGAGAGAGAGAGACAGAGAGAGAGAAAGAGAACATAATGATGAGAATCATTGATCAGCTGCCTCCTGCACACCTCCCACTGCGGGTCCAGCCATGTGCCCTGACCTGGAATCAAACCATGACCTCCTGGTTCATGGGTCGACGCTCAACCACTGAGCCACATCAGCTGGGCTTATTTGTCTTTTTATTGAGTTGTAGGAATTCTGGATACAAGTCCATTATTAAATAGGTGATTTATAAATATCCTTTCCCATTCTGTGAATTGTCTTTTCACTATCATGTTATTTCCCTTTGAAATACAGAAGTTTTTTTATTTTTATTTATTTTTTAGCAGTTATGGTGGGTAGTTACATCCTAGGCCGGTATCTTTTTTTTTTTTAAAATTTATTGATTTTTTTCCAGAGAGGAAGGGAGAGGGATAGAGAGTTAGAAACATCAATGAGAGAGAAAATATCGATCAGCTGCCTCCTGCACATCCCATACTGGGGATATGCCCGCAACCAAGGTACATGCCCTTGACCAGAATCAAACCTGGGACCCTTCAGTCTGCAGGCCGACACTCTATCCACTGAGCCAAACCGGTTAGGGCAGTTTTGTTTTTTTTTTAATGATGTTCAGTTTATCTGTTTTTTCTTTTGTTTGTGATGTTAGTGTCCATTCCCACCTCCACCCCCCCAACACCAAATAAAAAACTAAAAAAACCCATGTCTAATCCAGGTCTCAAAGATTTATTCCTATGTTTTCTTAGAGTTTTATGGTTTAGGTCTTCATTCTCTTTTGTTTTTTAAAAAAATGTGTTAGGAAACTAAGATGATGATAGATATTGACACTTTCTACTCTAGATTTGATGCAAGGCATTCCAGTGACAGAAGATCTTTATTCCATATTTAACAAAGAGAAAGAGCATGAAGCTTTGCATAAGGAAAACCAGAGAAGTCACCAGGAACTGATTAGCCAGCTTTTACAAAGTTACATGAAGTTACTGCTGCCTGATAATGAAAAGTTCCACGGGGGCTGGGCCCTCATTGACTGTGATCCCAGGTAATGAGTGATGTCCTGCTAACTAATGTGCTTACATTTCTGATAAGTTTTCTGTAATTAATGCTAGGACTTATCCATAAAGCTGTGGGCATGGATGCATGGCACTTTTCAAGTACAGAGCTGACACTAAAAACTCAGTAATGAGAACTATTTTAATGCAATAATTGATATAAAAAACAATTGTAAAACTATGGTTCGCTAGTGGCTGTGTGGGTTTTCCCCCTCAGAATCTAGGTTTATTGTATTAATGCACATAACTCAGTGGATAGAGGATTGGCCTGCAAAATGAAGGGTCCTGGGTTCGATTCTGGTCAAGGGCACGTACCTCGGTTGCAGGCTCCATCCCCAGCCCGGGGCACATGCAGGAGGCAATCAATCCCTCTCACATGGATATTTCTGTGTCCCTCCCTCTCTCTTCTATTCTAAGAATCAATGGAAAAATATATTCTGGTGAAGGTTAACAAAATATATATATTGCACTGAAAATGTTTTTTTTTAAATTGTTTGAAGTATTACATATGTCTCCTTTTTCCCTATTGACCCCCCCCCCCACCACCACTCCCACCCTAAGGGCAAGCTCCCACCACCCCAGTCTCTGGATATATTTTTTTTTCTTTCTTTATTGATTAAGGTATTATATATGTGTTCTTAACCACCCATTGACCCACTCATGCCCTCACCTTCCCCTACCTTCCCTCTGAGTTTTGAGCATCTGATCGATACTTCTCTGTCTCTGGATCTGTTTTTGTTCATCAGTTTATGTTGTACATTATATTCCACAAGTGAGTGAGAACATAAGAGATTTTTCTGACAATTACTTCGCTTAGCATAATGCTTTCCAGGACCATCAGGTGTTCGAATGGTTAAAAAAAATTTTTTAAATATATTTTTATTGATTTTAGAGGAAGAGAAACATCAAAGATGAGAGGGAATCATTGGCTGCCTCCTGCCCGCCCCCTACTGGGGACAGCCTGCAACCCGGGCATGTGCCCTTGACCAAAATTGAACCCAGGATCCTTGAGTTCGCAGGCCAAGGCTGTATACACTGAGCCAACCCGGCTAAGTTGGTTAAGAATTATCTTGATGGATTCCCCACCAAGATGGCGGCATAGGTAAACACCGGAGACTGCTGCCGCAAACAACCACTTCAAAAATACAACTAAAAGACGGAACGGACATCACCCAGAACCACAGGAAGGCTGGCTGAGGAGAGCCTCTTCAACTAGAAGGAAAGACAACAGCATACCGAGGCTCAGAGGAGGCGCAGTGTGGAAAATTTAAAGGTGCGGAGGTGCGCTCGCAAAGCGGGCTGGTGGCTGAGGGCGCGGTTGTCGTTTTCAATCAGGAGGGAGTCTCAGACTCTGAGCTCCAGATCCGGGCGAGTCTCTAGGGACTCAGACTCGAACGGGAGAAGCGGGATTGTCTAGCATCAGTTGCAACGTGAGGGCAGCTTTCTCTCCGAGGTTTGCAGCGGTTGCTGGGGTTCTGAGAAGCAGAGCCTCTGGGAACGGGACTGAGAGCAGCCATAACTGCTTCCTCTGTCCGCCCTGTTGATCCCGCCCCGCCCAAGCCCTGCGCAGAGCCATTTGCCAGATCGCCTCAGGCAAAGGCTAGATTAGCACCTCCCCAGAGGACAGAAGTTTCCCAAGGCAGACACAGGTGATTCCCACAGCCAGTCGGCCTGGTGGTCAAATCCCTCTAGTATTAACTACAACAATCAAAGCTTAACTAGAACAAGACTGCGCACAAAGACCACAAGGGGGTGCACCAAGAAAGCATAAAAAATGCGGAGACAAAAAAACATGACAGAAATGGAGGATATGGAGCTAAAATACGCAATTTTGAGGGCTTGCAATAAACTTGATGAGAGCCTCACAAAAACTAATGAGACCCTCGATGCTATGATAAAGAACCAACTAGAAATTAAGCATACACGGACTGAAATAAAGAATATTATACCCAATAGCAGACCAGAGGAGCGCAAGAATCAAGTCAAAGATTTGAAATGCGAAGAAGCAAAAAACACCCAACCGGAAGAGCAAAATGAAAAAAGAATCCGAAAATACGAAGATAGTGTAAGGAGCCTCTGGGACAGCTTCAAGCGTACAAACATCAGAATAATAGGGGTGCCAGAAGAAGAGAGAGAGCAAGATATTGAAAACCTATTTGAAGAAATAATGGCAGAAAACTTCCCCCACCTGGTGAAAGAAATGGACTTACAGGTCCAAGAAGCGCAGAGAACCCCAAACAAAAGGAATCCACAGAGGACCACACCAAGACACATCATAATTAAAATGCCAAGAGCAAAAGACAGAGAATCTTAAAAGCAGCAAGAGAAAGAGGCTCAATTACCTACAAGGGAATACCCATACGACTGTCAGCTGATTTCTCAACAGAAACTTTGCAGGCCAGAAGGGAATGGCAAGAAATATTCAAAGTGCTGAATACCAAGAACCTACAACCAAGAGTACTTTATCCAGCAAAGCTATCATTCAGAATTGAAGGTCAGATAAAGAGCTTCACAGATAAGGAAAAGCTAAAGGAGTTCATCACCACCAAACCAGTATTATATGAAATGCTGAAAGGTATCCTTTAAGAAGAGGAAGAAGAAAAAGGTAAAGATATAAATTGTGAACAACAAATATGCATCTATCAACAAGTGAATCTAAGAATCAAGTGAATAAATAACCTGATGTACAGAATGAACTGGTGATTATAATGAATCAGGGACATAGAAAGGGAATGGACTGGCTATTCTTGGGGGGGAAAGGGGAAAGGGAGATGCGGGAAGAGACTGGACAAAAATCGTGCACCTATGGATGAGGACAGTGGGTGGGGAGTGAGGGCGGAGGGTGGGGCGGGAACTGGAAGGAGGGGAGTTATGGGGGGGGGAAAGAGGAACAAATGTAATCTGAACAATAAAGATTTAATAAAAAAAGAGGAAGAAAAAGGTAAAGATACAAATTGAACAACAAACATGCATCTATCAAGTGAATCTAAGAATCAAGTGAATAAATAATCTGATCTACAGAATGAACTGGTGATTACAATGAATCAGGGACATAGAAAGGGAATGGACTGACTATTCTTGGGGGGGAAAGGGGAATGGGAGATGCGGGAAGAGACTGGACAAAAATCGTGCACCTATGGATGAGGACAGTGGGTGGGGGGTAAGGGCGGAGGGTGGGGCGGGAACTGGGAGGAGGGAGTTATGGAGGGGAAAACAAAAGAGGAACAAATGTAATCTGAACAATAAAGATTTAATTTAAAAAAAAATTATCTTGATGGCTATTGGCAACCCCTTAAGTATCGCACTGGAACCAGCCGCGGGGCTAAAGGGCTTGCGCATGCGCACTGGACGCTGCGCAGCGGAAGTGGCCCGCCTTGACGTGTTCCGGGGCGGGAGGTGGCGCGGTCGGTGGACGCAGTGCAGTTTGCTTCAGACAATTCACGCGTGGGTTTGGGTGCAGCGGTTCTGATCGCTTTGACTCCTCGAGAGAGAGACAAACGGACGCCCCGACCAGATGCCGCGGTCCTACAAGCCTTCGCCCGCCGCCCCGCGGCCCGCCCGCGCCGCAGACCTGGCTGCTGAAAATGATCGCTTGGCGACAATACTGAAGATGGCTCTTCTTTTAGCAGGGCTCATGCTGAAAGCTCCGGTGGCGTTATATTTTTATTCTAAAATAGTCCTTTTTCAAAGCTTCCTGTTAATGTCCCCTGAGGACAGCGGCTTTTACGCCCTCGTTGTGGCGGTGCTCGGCCTCCACATACTGCTTTGTGGTTTTGTTTGGCTCGTGTGGCCGGTGGACGGCCGGCCCCTGTGGCGGGGGCGGAAGCGCTAGGACGGAGCCGCCTTTCCTCCGCGTCCAGCGCAGTCAGTGTGAGGCTCGCCTGACTGCTGTAAATATTGTCACCAGTAGTAAAATATTTCCGTGTTCAAGTGTCTTTGTGACGTAACTTTCGTGGCTTGGCTGGAGCAACGCTTTTCGGAGTGCCCGTAAGTACAGACCAGAGCCCACCCTGGTTCTTGTCTGGTCTGGGACTGAGGACGCCCAGGCATCTTATGTCACTAATTGCGTTTTTGGCGAAAATTGAGAATTTGTTATTTATTTATTTTTTAAATATATTTTATTGATTTTTCACAGAGAGGAAGGGAGAGAGATACAGTTAGAAACATCGATCAGCCGCCTCCTACACATCCCCCACCGGGGATGTGCTCACAACCCAGATACATGCCCTTGACCGGAATTGAACCAGGGACCTCTCAGTCCCCAGGCCGATGCTCTATCCACTGAGCCAAACCGGTTTCAGCGCGAATTTGTTATTTTAGATTAAGACTGTTAGCTACACTACAACAAGGTGCTGCACTTTGGTAAAGTTTTCTCCGCAGGTAGTACGGGTTCTTCGACTCCAGTTCCATCTGCAAAGGGTGTTTTGCAATATTTTGATAAACAGGCAAACAGGTGTGTAATTCTAAGGCAGAATATGCATTCGTATAGAGCAGTGATGGGAACCTTTTGAGCTCGGTGTGTCAGCATTTTGAAAAACCCTAACTTAACTCTGGTGCCGTGTCACATATAGAAATTTTTTGATATTTGCAACCATAGTAAAACAAAAATTTATATTTTTGATATTTATTTTATATATTTAAATGCCATTTAACAAAGAAAAATCAACCAAAAAAATGAGTTCGCGTGTCACCTTACACACGTGTCACAGGTTCACCATCACTGGTATAGAGACTTTTGGGACTAACCTAAGAAGCCAGATTAATTTCCACCTTTTGTTTGGAAAGGCTGTTATTAGGCAAATATCATGTAAAATCCTTTCAAAGGATGCATTCTGCAGAGTAAAATACTCTACTGTGCAGTGTCATTTTGAAGATTAGGTTATGAGAGTAAGTCATTTAGACTATTTCTTCCTTCTGAACCTCACATTTCTTTCTTTCCAATTCCCCTTCCCCCCCATTATCCATTTCCCCCTCCTTCTTGGCTGTGAGAAGGCATCTCTCTTCAACTCATCCTTTCTTCCACCCTCCCAAACTAGATTCTTTTTTAAATATCCAAATGGATAGATTGTGTCCTACCTTCTGAAATTAAATGTATGCATTATTCCCCCTCCCTCCCGTCTTTTATCACAAGTGGTTCTCCTTTAAAAATAAGCTTGGCAAAAATTTAGATGAAAGTAAAAATATGTAATTGCCTGTGTCATGTTTGTTTAGCCTCATTGATGCTACTCACAGAGATGTGGATGTGCTGTTACTGCTTTCTAACTCTGCCTACTACGTTGCCTAGTAAGTTGCTTATTGATTTAAAGCTTTAAATTGTTTTAAAATCTGAGTAAATTTCCATTTTAGGAAATGAAGAATTGGGTTTTATTTTGAAGAAATGTCATTGAACCCCTTTACCTTACATAACTGTGACAGCCTTCCTTTTTTTAATTTGAAAATGATTTTTAGAGTTTGTTTTATTATTATGCTCTAAATGATTTCCCATTGTTGGGCATTAAAAGGATTCGTTTTGCTGTTGTGAATGATACAGCTGTCTTTGTGCAGATAATTGTGTGTGCAAGGTTATCATTTGGTTACAGTGATGAATTGCAAGTGCTTCTCCATAGCCTTGCCAGAACTGAGGGTGGTTCCCCCCACCTTGTGTGAACTGTTTTTTCTTGTCATCGGCTTGGGTGCCTATTGGCATTGATCACGTTGATTTTCCCTCCTTGATTTGGATATAATTTATCTGCTGTATTATCCCAAATACATAGCTTCAGAATACATGTCTCTGTATTTTTAAATTTCCTTTTAGGTTAAGGTTTAAGTTTCTTTTTTTTTTTCTTTTTCAAAATGTTTATAAAACAAATTTTTGCTGTGAATTTTAGTGTAAGATCTATAAACTGATTTTCTTTTAACTATTGAACTATGTATGTTATCTCATTACATCTAACTTTGAAAAATATTTAACTGTATTGTGCTACAGATTTTAACTGCACAGTAGTTGGTACTATTATACTTCAGCTATAAGATAAATATGCTTTTGATTTGAATAATTTTTTAATCCCTTTTCCTTTATCTAGTTATGATGATGAAGTTGACAAAGTAAACCAGTATCAACGACTAAGTCTAGAAGACCTGGAAAAAATAGAAATAGGTAAATTTAAAGATACTAATCAAGTCATAGAAAGCAAATACTGTTTCTTCCAAGAGTAGGTCAAGTTGTTTATGCAACTGGCATAGCGTCTTACTAGAACCAGAGAGGGGTATTCCCAGTCGTATTTTGTAGGTCTCCCTTCTATTCTTTAGAGCAGGGGTCTTCAAACTACGGCCCGCGGGCCACATGCAAATACAAATATTGTATTTGTTCCCGTTTTGTTTTTTTACTTCAAAATAAGATATGTGCAGTGTGCATAGGAATTTGTTCATAGTTTTTTTTTTTAACTATAGTCCGGCCCTCCAATGGTCTGAGGGACAGTGAACTGGCCCCTGTTTAAAAAGTTTGAGGACCCCTGCTTTAGAGATTAGTGATGAATATAATCCAATAGTAAGTTTTTATTTTATTATCTTGTGAAGATTAAACCAGAGATCAAGGAAGTTTACATATTTGAGGCTGAAGTGCTAGTATTTATTTCATCAAACCAAACTCACACTAAGCTTGTGTGCTTGTTTAGATTGTGAGGGAAATGTGCTAAATAGCCCAATGGAATGATGTGTTGGTCTTTTGAAGACAGAGGAAAGTAAAGGTTATGTGAAAGATTTTCACATGAACTCCTCTGGTCTTTAGGTCCTGAACCCACTCTTTTTGGTAAGCCAAAGTTTTCTTGTATGCGGCTGCACTACAGATACAAAGAAACAAGTGGCTATTTCCACACATTGAGAGCTGTAATGCGCAATCCAGAAGAGGATGGAAAAGGTAAGGAGATGAAATTACTGAGTGTAAACTTTTGATCTGCTCTTCTAAGCACAAATGGAATTGGGGGCGGTACATACCATCACCAACTAAATGATCCAGGGAAATAGCAACTTTGTTCTCAGCAGCACAGGGAGATAGATGATCTGAACTGATGATGGTTTGGGGCGAGGGAAGCTATAATGGGAATCCTGTGTGGCCGTATGGATGCGGGCTTTCCCACCATATATGCCTCGTGTGGGTAGTAGTCAGGGACCGTGTCTGTCTGGTTCACAGCTATTACCCTCGGCATCTAGCACTTTAATTCCAATTGATTTGGTTCCTTTGCTCTTTACTTACTCTTTTGTTAAAATTGGTTTTACAACACTGAATTAGTGGGGGAAGTAATGAATAAGGAACAGTTTTGTGTAAATTGAAGCAAATAAGTTTGATTTTAACTGAAAGACCACAAATTTCATTTAGGGTTGAGTTAGAACTGCTACTTTTTAGTATGTTTCTGGAGAAAGTGGCAGCAGTTCTATTTGGGTTTCAGATACCCTTCAGTGCATTGCAGAGATGCTGCAGATCACCAAGCAAGCCATGGGACTGGATGTGCCTATAATCGAGAAAAAACTTGAGAGGTGAGTACCCTATTTTGATTTTCTCTCACGAATAAAGACATTATTATCCAGAGTCATCTTTAAAAATATTTGCACAGGTGGGGGGGAGGGGTCGCATTAGAGTAATGAGTTGGTATTTAGAGAGAGAAGTTTCAAATTTCTGGATTAAAGGTAAAACTTTTTGTTAAAATTATGGCCACAAGTAATATATTTTTAAACTCTTAAAATATACTTAAGAGGGGAGCATTTCAATTTAAATAACTTTGTAGAGAAACTAGCCACTATGCTTTAAACACGAGGTTACTTAATTTGGGAAAGAATGCCTGTAAACAGATTATTTTACATTTAAATTTGTGAGCTTTCCATCTAATGAGCAGGTTCATGGTCCACATTCCACTAGAGAAGAGAGTCCTTTGGTCATCTAGAAAAAAATTGTTCAGTCTTTTGTTAGTAGAGAATATTGTTTCCGTTGTCTTTGATGTTACAATTTTTACAAAAGTCTCATGACCTGTAATCCCACATGACCAAGTCAAACATTCAAGATATGTGTGATGAATAGCACAACTTATTTTTTCTCATTTGTACCTGTCGTGAGAGATGCCAAGGGAGAAACCACTAAGTTATGTTCAATGTCCCAAATTTTTAAAAATATGTTCCCAGTGGGTTATCTGAATTTAAGGAAACAAAATCCCCCCCCCCCCCTCCTGAATTCAGCCAAATTAGAATGTGTGTAGACAGCTCTAGTTACGGTGCAGTAGATTCCCACTTACAACCAGTGATTTTGCCATCCTTTAGATTGTGGATGTGGAGCCTCTGAAAGGTGATTAGTCTGCGTTTTGGGTGTGGGTTTTTGGTTGTTTGTTTTTGCACAAAAACATGGGCTGAGGCAACTGTTGGGAGGCTTCCCTCCCTCCCTTCCTCTGCTGCCTGCTCCTCTCTGCATGCCTAGGAGAACCCAGCTGAAGGAAACATGCAGCAGCAGTGGTAACTCCAAAGACAAATGGTTTGGTCCAAAAGAACTCAACACGATTAATCCAATTACCAGAAAGAATGTCACCAAGCAGAATTAAAATGCTGATGTGGTGGTTTCCACAGGGTGGCTCTGGGTTGCTCCTGGTGGCCTGCTTGAGGAAGGTGAGGACAGAGCGCCTGTGGGGGATGTCTCTGGCCTGTGTGTGGGACTAGGGTTGAAGTCACACAGCCGGACCCCCGTTTCCACTCAGCGCCTGGAACAACGTTCCAGTGTCATTAAGGGCCTCTTCTGCTCTCCTGTAAAACCTACCCCCTGGCTGTTTCAGAGACTCAGCACAAAAAATACACCTCATTCACTCTTTTTCCACAGTGACTCTAAGCTCAAATGACAATGTTTTGTATATATTGGGTTTAAATAAAATTCATTTCACATTTTTAATGTGGCTATTTTCAATGACATCTACAGCTTGTCTATTTCTATTGGACATTCTCTTCTAGTGTCAACTCCAAGGGGTTATAGTTTATCAATTAGCAATGTGCAGTTTTCAAGAAATGGGGTCCAATTTAAATAGAATTTTCACTTTAATAATTGGAAATGGTATGCTGAATTACATGGGAAATTAACTTTTCTCTTCTACTTTGTAGGAAGAGCAGTAAACCTCATGAAGACATAATTGGCATCAGATCTCAAAACCAAGGGTCTCTGGCCCAGGGAAAAAAGTTTTTAATGAGCAAATTTTCATCTCTAAATCAAAAAGTGAAACAGACCAAATCCAATGTAAATATTGGCAATTTACGAAGGCTGGGAAACTTTGCAAAACCTGAAATGAAAGTTAATTTTCTGAAACCAAACTTAAAAGTAAATCTTTGGAAATCAGATAGTAGTCTTGAAACCATGGAAAACACAGGTGTGATGGATAATACAGTCCAGGCAGAGTCTGATGGGGAAATGTCTTCAGATAATGACTCCTACCACTCTGATGAATTCCTTACAAATTCCAAGTCTGATGAGGACAGGCAGCTAACTAATTCTCTAGAGAACGTGGGGCCAATAGACTATGTTCTTCCTAGTTGTGGCATTATTGCTTCAGCACCTCGATTAGGCAGATCCCAATCTATTAGCAATACTGATGTTAGCATTCATGCTCCTTCAGATATTACTACTGCTGCTCATGGAAGTGAGTTTGGAAAAGGCTGTGAGTCTCCTTTAAAAAAAAGTCCTTCTGCTGATAATATACACATATTGCCTGGCTTTGCCAAGCCTATGGATATTTACTGCCACCGATTTGTACAAGATGCACACAACAAAATGGCCCAACTGTCCGAAACCACATGTGTTTCTCAGCAGGCTAGTGAGGAAGGAAATCAAACAACCAATCAAGTTTCCAATGAAGAAACCCAATCTGAATCAACGGAACACATACCTTCTCGACCATCTCAATTAGATGTGTGTTTTTCTGCAACAGGCCCACAGTTTTTGTCTGTCGAACCAGTGCATTCAGTTGTATCTCAGAAGACCCCCGGCTCTGGATCCAGCATGCTTGAACTTGAGACAGGGCTTCATGTAACTCCTTCTCCTTCAGAGAGCAGCAGCAGAGCCGTCTCTCCCTTTGCAAAGATTCGGAGCTCCATGGTCCAGGTTGCTAATATTACCCAAGCCGGGTTAACCCAGGGGATAAGCTTTGCAGTGGCAAAGGTTCAAAAGAGCCCTGCAGAACCTGAAGTGGTTAATGAAGTCCAGCAAAATGAACTTAAAAATATGTTTACACAATGCCAGACGCGAATAATTCAGATTTAGTTTTTAGCCACAATCCTATGGCTTTTAATAAAAAAAAGTTTCACATATGAGGCTATTTTAACCTGCACTGACTCTGAATTTAGGGATCATACATTGTTTACTGGGAAAGGTTTTAAAAGGATTATGAACTTGAGCAGATTTCCAAATTTGAGAGTCAGGACAACAGAGGTGCAGCATCCTAGAATGTGTAGACCTAAGTAGCTAAACACTACAGAGCTGTTTGTCTCTTTGAATGTAATTCAGGAATAGATTACTTTGGGGTGTAATAATCTGTACCTGACCTTTTTTTTTTTTTTTTTTGAGTGGGCGGGGGGAGCTGTTGAGTGTATGAAGTAGACACATAAAGGATGGTCATGCCTACATTGAGGGGGTTAGCATTTTTTATAACATTTTTCTCAGTATATTTCTGTGTATTACCTCTACAACAGTGGTTCCCAAACTTATTTGGCCTACCGCCCCCTTTCCAGAAAAAATATTACTCAGCCCCTGGAAATTAATTTTTTTAAAATTTTAATAGCAGTTACTCATCGCCCCAAAATGCACCTGTGGCCATCACCGCCCCCCTGGATCGCTGCAGCGCCCACCGGGGGGCGGTAGCGCCCGCTTTGGGAATCACTGCTCTACAAGGTAAATACATTTCGTTTTTAGTGACTTTAAAAGTGTTACTAATATGGAAAAGCATTTGAATATAAAAAACTTGGTTTTGTTTTGATGGCTTAACCATTCCCTATGAAGAATTGAGGGTTACTGGCATAGTTAAGAAATGTATGCCCATTGGATCTTAATTTTCCCTGTATTTTAAACAATTTTAAATTTTATGCCACTCTGTATACCCCAAAGTCTAGGAGCATTAAGATATGTCAGTCATAAAACCTGAGACATCAGATCTGAATACCAGCGCCTATTAATTTTGGTATTTTCAGGTAAGAATGTACATTTACCGGATATTGGTAATTCTTTTAAAGGGGGCATTCCTTAACATCTTGTATAGACTATTGAAACTTAGTCTGAAGCACAGTTGTGTTAAAATTGGTTTTATGACCATAACCCTGACCACATGGAAACTCTTCTATAGCCCATACATTAAGAAAGCTACTTTATTCCAAACAAATACTGGTTTGTCTGGTATCTTTAGAGCCTTACTCTGTTGACGTGATTCTCAGCTAAACATTAAGTCTGTTGTAACTTTGCTAAGTATTTCCACTTGTTATTTATTAGTGGTATATTTTTTTGTGTGTGTGAAGTGTCAAATCTTGTGGCTATTTAAAAAATAAAATACCATTGTAATTTAAAGTGACAATGTATGAGAATTCCTTGAATAACATTTTAAGGATAAGGGGTTTGATTTTTGAATGGGATTAAAGAATTTGTAAGCAAGGTAAGTTTTCTATAATATTCATTTAGTTTTCTGGTGATTCAAAAATAGGGTTAAGCCGAAACCGGTTTGGCTCAGTGGATGGAGCGTCAGCCTGTGGACTGAAGGGTCCCGGGTTCGATTCCGGTCAAGGGCATGTACCTGGGTTGCGGGCACATCCCCAGTAGGAGATGTGCAGGAGGCAGCTGATCGATGTTTCTCTCTCATCGATGTTTCTAACTCTCTATCTCTCTCCCTTCCTCGCTGTAAAAAATCAATAAAATATATTTTAAAAAAAAATAGGGTTAAAATCACGTTAGATTGACAACTTTAATGTCCACGTGTATATAGCAAGGGAGGAAAGGGTTTCTGAAGCCCAGGGTTCTCTCTCCTACCTGCTCACTGGAGTCTGAGGGCACAGCATCTCCTCCACGCAGGGCACATGGGAAGAGCTTCAGTTCTCTGGAAGGGTTTTCCTTTCAAGGGAACTTCTCTGCCAGACCAAGCTACTTAGTACTTCTCTTTGGTAAACCACAGTTCACATTGGCACAATAAACACACGGTAACTAATCTCTTGAATTTTATTCCCACAAATCCAGGTGAAGTTTCATTTCCTAAAAGTTCAAGGATGGTCTAGTCTACCAGTTATAAAAATGAAAACCAGTTAGAATACTAAATATAAACTGATTATATTAGTTTATAAAAAATAGATTTGAGTTTAGGAAAAGTTAAACTAATAATCCCGTTTGCTAGGCATAATAAATTCCTTGATTTTCAAGGCTCACCCTGTTTCCTTGGTTAACAATGTCAATTTAGACCTGGGGGTGGAATTTAAGGAATCATTTAACTGAACCATTAATGTTTCCAACTAGGTAAGTCACTGACTAAAAATAATTATGTATAACCACAGCTTAAGTGATGTTCTAACCTCTCCAAATATTCTGGGAGCCACAATTATACTATGAACAATGATGTTTTTGTTCATTTGAAAACTTACTGTATGTTAGAACTGTAATTGGTCTGGGGAAGAAAGCCTACTTAGTTTTATCATGGTGTTCTGGACAAGCAGATAATGTTAGTTAATCTAATAAAGTTCAAAATCTAATACAATCATCAAAGCAAGTAAATGACATTAGGAAAAGAATTAAAAACCTTTTCCCTAAAGAAGACATTTCTTAAAATTAAAAATTAACTATTTTACTCTCCTCATATTTAGGAAAAACAACTTAGTAGGGTAGAATTTCCTTAAGTGAGTGCCATAAAACAGTGGTTCCCAAATGTACTGGGGTGAAATGAGAAAAATAAGGACAATGGAGTATTTTTTTTAGAAAGCTACATTTATTCCACTTAAAGGACTATCTTGTTTTAAGATTGTCCTCAGAAAAAAAATGTAATAATACAGTGATTTCTTTCAGATAACTTGGCAGCCTTGTCCATCCCAAAATTTGGGGAAATATTACTGGTCCATGAACTCTAAAAGTATGGGAACCACTGCCACGTTAAAGACTAGTGTTGCAGATTAACAACTGTTAAGTAGAAAAAAAGCTTCTGTGGTCAAATGTTTGGGAAATCATGTGAAATTCTATAGTATCATTTCCCAAACATGTGATCACAAAACACATTCAGATCCACTGTTAATTGGAAAGACGTAAAAAATCTTAAGTGAACAATTCCCGAATGGAATTGCAACTATTTTCATATGAACAAAGTCTGGCCTATAACTTAGCTTCAGCTAAGGAAATGGTATAAGCAGCAATGTTATCAATATTAAACTTTTAATATCAAATACAGTTTTGTACATTACTAATTTATATAATTATAAAACAAACTCCAAAAGCTCCATAAAATCAGTAAGGTAAAAGCCCTTACTGAATATTATATAAACTTCAGATGTTACCAGGCTTGATTTCAGGAAAAGTCCTTGGTTTTTAATACAAAGTATCTACAAAACAATGGTATAAATGATACTTGCATTTTACAAGAATGTGGCTGTAATTTGCCCATTACTCTTCGATAGGTATCAGATGTTTAAAGTTCATTTCCATTCACACACTTCTGCTGTTGAAGCCTGGTTCTTCTCAAAGACTCGAGCTGCTTTGCTCTTAGCCATCGTTCTCTTGACAGTGTTGTCTGACCAGCACTGAGAGACAGAAACCTGGTTTGAGATAAGAAACAGATTTAAGTCTAGACCTAGGAATACTAGTTTAGGAACAAGACCTGTGGCAGGGCCACAAAGAGGTCAAGAACCAAGTTCGATGTCTACAAAGGAATCCTTTAAGTCAAATTTGGGAGATGACTCACTTTGAGAAGCATGCCTGGTTCCACTGAAGTGATCACCGGCCAAATGCAATTTCACTTCAATGAGCCACTTCACAAGGGTTTTTAAAAGGAAAAAGTTCATTTCTATAAACTAGGGGCTTTATTCATAGCTTACGTTAAGCAATTATGGACATGT